TGGTACAAGGCTCAGGAATGCAGCCAATCCCTTTGAAGTGGAGTGTATTGTAGGGCTGGAGGCATTGTGAGCCTTGTTGATGACCCTGTGTGTAACCTTTCATTTGAACATCCGTAATGCACGGAATGAGAAAGGCCTCCTTAAAAGAGAAGACTGGTATACTGGAAATCTCGTTGCTGACATTTTAGTATTCATTTTGGATTTTATAATCTCCAACAAAAAACAATTTTTAATCTTTCAAGATTCTTTAATTTTTTAAAAAATCTTTTACTCGGGTCATATGAAGACATCACTGTTCTTTTAATTATTAATAGGAATGAAGGTCCTTAATCTGTGCACAGTACAAGCAACCAGGGAAGATACAGCTCTTTGACCTCAACCTAGAAAATAAAATAGAGGTCAAGCAGAGCTGAAGTCAGCTGTCACCTGTGCCTTGTCCCCTCAAATTCTCACCACATGCATCTACAGCAGCCTGGAACAGGAGCACAATTTGACTTGTGAATAGATTGATCTGCATAAGCCCTGGAGTTTAGAGGGAGGTTTCCAGAGGCATTTGGTGGAGCACAGGGAGGTCAGCACAGCCTTAGGAAGCTCCTGTCACAGGCTCAGAGCAGCAGCATGGTGAGGTTGGGGGGTTCTGTGGGTGCCATGCTCTCTGGAGGCTGATCTGAGTAAAGAGACTGTCACAAATGCAACAGTGACCTGGAGAAAGCTGGGAGATGATTTGTGTGACAACCATCACTACTCTGAAGACAGTGCTAGTGTACTTTGATCTATACACGAGAAAACTTTTTTGAGCTTCCTCCGACAGTCTGATCAAATCAGTTCCTGCCACCTGTGAAAGGCACTTTTATCAAGACAAAGAGAAGCTCCCCCAGCTGCTGAGTACTGGATGCTGGATGGTAGCTGGCTGCTGCTCATTCATGGAGGACAGCATAAAATTTTGCAAATCCTCTGCACAGATGTGGCAAATCTATCACAGAGTTTATCTTGCCATGAATGATGCAAGCCCTCCCTCCCAGTTGCCCTGAGGGGGAGCAAGCTACAGTGTCTGCCCTCTTTTTCCCACTGGTGTATTGGGATGAAGCTGGTGCTCAGACAGCAAGATGTAACTCCAGTACCTAGCACGTGTTAGTAAAAGACACCTGGTGCTCTCTGACTTCAGCATGGACAAGTAAAGGCAGATGAGCAGAAGTGGAACCAAGCACACAGCATGAGACAAAGCAGTACGGTGGGTGAACGGTGGCAGTGGAACCCCCCCAGTGGGCTCTGCTTCTCATTAGCCGTGGGGAGTGTCAGCTTGGATTTTTCAACTATTAGTGTGAAGACTGAACTCATTAACTTGTGCGGGTTTTATAGAGCGATTAATACAATTACTTACTTGTACTTAAATGTAAATAGTCACAAATATTTGCAAGAATCAAAATACTTTAAAAAATAGGCCAATAGTGAGATGAAAAAAGTGGCAGAAGTTGGTTGGCTTAAAAGGTAAGATGTTATAGCAGACATAAGTAGGAGAGGAGTTACTCAGGATCATAAATTGAATGAATCTATCATTCTATCAGGATAATAATGGCAAAGCTTGGGCTGGCAGTGAGACCTGCAGGGCTGTGAGAAAGTTTCATAAGTGAAGTGTCAAGTGTATCACTAAGGACATTTAAATCTACTAAAACAAGGTAGAGCAGAAAATATCTTCTGAATAAAATACCTTGGTCCTTTCGGCTGAGATAGAGGATGTTACAGAGCCAGCAAGCTCTCTCTGTCTATTTGGAGTAGCCACCAAGGTTGCTCCTGGGACATAGTTTGGCATCATGTGAAGGGGACAGAAAGTGTGGTAGTGATCATTCTGAATGGTGTGGACAAAATAGGATGTAGATAGTATGTCTTTTCTGCAGCAGAAATATACATTGGTTAAAAGTTGTCCCTTTCAACTCCTGTTTGCAGGAGCCCTGAGTAGCAACAAAAGCAAGATATCAACTAAAGCTACCAAGAGAATTTTTGTTTCCCATGGAAAGAGTGATCAATGATTTTTTAAAAAAGTATAGACACTTTAGAATTGTTTCTAAAGTACAGGTCGCAAGGATATGTTTTAAACCAGGAACACTCTTTAACTGTTAATCTATATAAGAATGAACTAATATGTTCTTCACCTCTTGAGAAAGAAACAAGGTGGCACACTGGGGCAGTGTGCAAAAATGTAGAACAAAGAGAACTAGCCCACCATGACAGTGGAAATAAGAAAACTGCACATTCCTCTGCCTGGGGCTTCTTCGCACCTCAGTATCCTTAATTATGTTCCAGGGTATTTTGGCATTCCTTCTATTTGCATTTAGATCTTTCATCAGGAAGTTAATGTTCTCAGAGCAAGTAAAATCTCAAATCCCATAAATCCTAATGTTTAATACGTTAACGATATAGAGATAAGTATTTAATTTTGCTTTATGCATGACAGAGAAGCCAATGACAAATAGCACTGAGTAATATTTATGAGTTCCATGCCTGAAGGAATAATAAGCACCTTAAATTATTGTAAATTCCAACAAGGCACATACATTGAAGGCTTTATAAAACTTTATACTTTATGCATGTTAACTACCACATTGTTCTGCCTACCATAGTTCAACTTTTGGTGTTTCCAGCAGCTGTGATTACAAAGCAGCATCTTCCCATGCTGAAACAATCTGTGGGAATGTATCTGTCCTTCTTGATATTGTTCTGGCCTCCAGGTTCCAGCTATGTCCTGAAAAGTGCCATGAAAAGGGCAATAACAAAATTTAATGCAGTGCTAAGCAAGTAGCATATGATTACTAAATATCTATCATGGCTAGAAACAAAATAGAGTTAATCTTTCCTTTCTCTCTTTCATTATGTGAATATCAACTTTATATGCCAGTTTTGCTGACCAGCATTTCCCGGGCTTGCTGAAGGGCAGCTGGAGAAAGGAACCTCACACACCCAGGTGCACAGCAGCAGTTTCTACATGAGTCTTACACCAGCTCAGCAATGAAGAGTGAAGAGCTATGGGAACAGAAGATGGACTTTAGCCAAGGAATCTATAGGAAGCCACTTCATTTCTTGGATTTTCAAGTGCACCTTATAACTGGACTCAGAAGAAGTCACAAGTGTACATGGAGGTATCAATTCCTCTGCTGATTTTGTGCCAGATAATGGTGGCAAAATGAAGATGCCTTGGCAGGTAAGGAAATATTTACAAATATTTGTGGGAGAAGATGACAGCCTGGTGCAAAATTATACAGTTGCCAATTGTCATCACCAGCACTAACTATATACTGAAGGACTTAAAGGGTGGTAGGCATGCAGGCAGATCCTCACAGCCAGAGCACCGTGCTGAGAATGAACCACAGCAGTGGCTGGGTCAGTCTGACAATTTGCTCTACCTTCAGACATGTAACTCATCAGGTGAGGGTCACTGGGGCTCTGCAGGGGGCTGAAGCTGCTCAGATTCCCTGCCCTTGGGGGGAGTTGCTGAAACATGTCCTTCTCCTTTGGGCAGCCCTGGGTGGGAGCTGGTGGGCTGGTCAAGGTCCAGCTCCTCAGAGGATGCCAAATCTCCTGTTGTTTTCTGGGGCTGAGCATGGGGACTCCCTGGCAGGGTGTGGGAAACTAGGGGTTGGTATCAGGGCAATAAAAGGGCAATAAATTCACATTTAGGGCCCTTGTCTACCACGGTGGAAGATCAGCTTCGTGGCTCAGACAGTTTTTGCTAGCATTCATTTAGGAAAAATTAATAACAAAACATAAACCATTTGGTTTGCTGAAAGTGTTGCAACAAGGTTTTTGAAAACGTATTTCAGAACTTTGCTTCATAAGGATATGGGGCACTCCTCTTGACTTTCTGCACTGTTTCACCAGGATGCTGTGAGGACCCTACCCCCTCCAGCCTCTGCTAGAACGACTGAGTTGCCTGAATGTGGAGGAGGGTTTTTAAGTGCTTGGAGCAGGGGCAGCCTGGTGACCAAGCAAGGTTTAAATCCTCTGAGTGCTTCTCTACTCTTCAAATTAGTCAAGGTATTTCTCTGCAAGGAGAATTTTCCTGCACTCCCAAACAAGTATTGCAAGAGATTATTTAAAACATAGCTGCCAGTGCCTTCTAGCACTAAGCCTGATAAAATTTCTCTCGTGTCTTGGAGGACTGCTTGCTTTCAGGACATACTTGCTTTCAGGAGGATGGCAAAGCACCAGCACTGCCAGGAGATCCATGTCAATGTGTGAGGTACCTCTGCAGTAAAAATGACAGCCAGAAATTGGTAGCTGGTGCTTATAATTTAGACCCCAGAAGCTAAGATTGACATGTTCTGGCAGCAGGTTTGTTGTGGTTAAATATCTTTTTTCTTTAGCCCATGAAAAATACTCACACAAGAATTACTTGATCCACAGCAGAAGAATAGGATTAGCATCAGGAAGAGGTGTCTGGTGGCAGCCTCAACAGTCCAAGCTTCCCTCCCTGAATGGGATTCATTCTTTCCCAGCTGAGCCGGTGGGAAGTTCTTGCTCCTACAGGAAAGTGCACGGAGGGCTGCCGCAGTGTTGTTTTTTGCTCTCATGTTATGCCCTTTTCCAGGGGTCAAGAGTTCTTCCATAACACTCACTCCAAGCTAGAGGTCTCAGCATAAGGAGCCTACTTGGCATGTCCTCTCAGAAAGGATTTTATACATGGGGTGATGGAGCTCTCATGAAATGCTTGTCAGCCCAGCACTGTTTGTTTATTCCAGGTTCACTGGAAGGAGACCTCACTTCACTCTTCAGCCTGGCCTGGCAATGTTTTTCATACATTTTCTCTACCACAGCCACATCTCAGTGAGATCTCTGCCACAGCCAAGTGGCTCCTCCAGGCTGACAGTCTGGCACAGGCACACAAAGCTGACTGAGGCATTGACAAACCCAAGGTGCCGCCCGTTATTTGAGCATGGTGGAGTGGACAACTGCTGGGAGATCTCAGTGCCAGACAATGGACGAGTCCTCTGCGGTTAATTGTCATCCCTGCCAATGAGAGGAGCTTCGTCGCTCTCGCAATCAAGGACAAAAGTCTTTTCTTTGGCCCTTTATTGCCTGTCACAAAGCTGGTTGGTGCAGCTGGGATCAGGCCCACAGCTGATCCTTCTCTCCCCCGCCCAGGGCCATTCCTGCCAGCTCAGCTGGGGTCACCAGGACAATGGGGAAGCTGCGTCTGCTGTGTCACACCAGCGCGGGTCTATAACCCGGACAGCCCCAGAATATGTGTGTATTCTCCCCCTTGATGTTCAGGGGCTTGCTACCTCTTTGTTTGCTTTGCTTCATTGTAAGGTAAAATGGAAGAAGGGAAAGTGCTCCTGCCTAGAAATACAGATGCATTGTGACATAAAAGGGATGAGAAAGGCACATTTCAGCTGTGAGCCTCACACCCCACCTCAGCACAGGGCTGGTGTAGCAGAGGCTGTCACAGGAGCTGTGCTGCCTCGCTGCAAGGCTTCTACAGAGGGGATCCTCTCCACAAAGCAAAGCCTGTTTCATGTTCAGGTAACAGGCTGCCTACTGTAAGATGTCAGGATAATTTGGCAGCTCCTCTGGCAGATTGCTCTCCATGCAGGAGTGAACAGGCAGGTCTGACTAACCTGCAAGCAGACGAGCCATCAGAAAATAGTGATCAGAAAGTAGTGCTGCTCTCTGTTTTCCTGTGTTGGAACTTTGCTTCCCCGATGTGTTTGATGTAGGTGCCCTAAAAGCATGGAATAATTTTTTCCACTCTCTGTGTTTTTGTGGTTACCTTTCTCCCAGCTTGGGAGCCAGCAAGCAGATCCCAGCATGTCCATTTGCTACTACCCACTTGTGCCTCAGCAAGACGTAGCACAACCTGTGCAATCTGTGCTTGTCTCATTAGGACCTAACCTGGTTACCTGCTTCCCAGAATTTACCTAGTGGGCCTTACAGAAAATCACTGCCTTGTGTCCTCATTTCCATAAAGCTACTGCCACCAGGAGTGTCGCAGCAGCTCGCTGCTTTTCCCACAGTTTATCATACGTGATGACTAAACTGCATTTATTCTGTATATTCATCTAAGCAACTGCCTGTGTTCACACCTGCACTAAACACCAAAGGAACAATGCCCAGTGGTGTGGATTAAATAAAAGTATGCCCTTGCCAGATCACCACCAAGGAGCTGGAGAAAGGTCAAAACTGCAGTGGTGTCCATGCCCTTGTCCCTGCTGTTATGACTGTTATTACACCTTCAGTGCAAAGAGCAGCAGAGGCTGATAAGCGTCCTGAAAGAGATGATTTAACTCATATTTACCTATGCATATGAACCAGGCTTGAGACAACACAGGCATCTAATGTTAGAGAAATGAATGGCTCTTAGTTCATCTGCTATTATGGAATAATGTATTCCCTGATTTTTCAGGTGTCATTGGATTATTGATAGTTATTGTGTTCTATCTGCATATCAGTGCTTGTACTCTCTCTGCAAAAGATGCTCACCTGGAAGCCTGTGGAAATCAAATACATATTCAGGACTCAAAACAATTCCTGCCTGATGTATTCAAACACAGCACCAGAATTTCATCACCTACCTCACCTCCAAATTCTTTTCAGATCTTATCTTTTCCAGTCATAAGCTAAAAAAGATGCATGATACAATATCCTAGCAGTGCTGCAGGGGATGTGACTCCACCAGTAATTTGTGAGATAGATGTTGGGAGTGCCCCTAACTAAAATTGTTTGAGGATAAAATTACTGAGCACAGTGCTGAAATGGTGCATCACCCACTGGCCTGGTCCAGGATTTCCAGAGGGCTTCTAGGACTTATCTGCCAAAATGCTACTGAATATCAATGGGAATTTTGTTTAATTCAGTTGCCTAATTCAGTTGTCTGAAACCAAACTAATCCTTCCCATAATGTTTCTTTCAGGTTTTGGATGGTGATTACATTAGAAATCCTATGGACTTTGATGAACATTTGCTTTGATGTGGTAGAGCTTTGATAGCCACATCAACATGAAATCAAAATAAAAGAAAAATTTAGAGATGTTTATCAGTTTACGATGGCAGCTATTCATAAAAATCTCTGATAGAACTGGTGCAAATGTGATATTTATGTACAGTCTGAGAAACACAAGCCAGAGGACCAAGTTCTGATGCAAAATCAAGGTGTTGTTAATGACAAAAAACTCAAACACTGCCACAGTAGAAATTATGATGCCTGTGAACCCCTGTTCCAGAGCAGACTGGGGGTCTAGGAGTTGCCATGTCCTTTACTTGCCACCACAGGCGACAATATGAGTATTTTTAACAGAGACAGGAAACATCCGTTGGTTTCTGACGGAGCACCACCAACATGGGTTTGAATTGGGACTTGTTGAGTTCTGGCTGCTGGTTCCTTAGAGAAGGACAAGATCTCAGGTACAGGTTTTCTTCCTGAGAGCAGGTGTGCAGGGACAAAGTGCTGGAGAGACCCTGTGCCCTGAGGAACACACCCCTGCTCTCCATCAGCACCCATGGAACTGCCACAGGAGCACTGAGGGCATTTGGCATAACTCGAGGGCAGGATTTTCCCTTTACTGGCCACAGTGTTTGTACAAGAAAGACCTGCATGACTGATTGGAAGAAAAGAACATTTGTATCTTATATATTGGAGAAATTGTTCAGGAACAGTTAATCCCTGTGAAAGTCCTGCTCTGAAATGCTGCCAAGAGCAGAGGCTGTGTTGGTATTTGCCATGTCAAAGCCAGTCTGTGAGGAGCACCCTCTCACCGTGTGGCTCTGGCAAATACAGTGGGACATTTTTCTGCCAGCAGGACACAGCAGATTCTATCCTTAATGCTGCCTGGGCTCCAGGAGTGCCAGCTTTTCCTGCCCCTGGGGCATTTCTCCATGGGCTGCATGGCAGTGGCCAGCCAGCAGCATTGTGCTTACAGGTGGAGCACACCTTGTCCAGGCATGCCTCACCTGGAGAGCTCCTTCACACTCCATGGACAGTGTGTACACTGAGCATCTGTTTTATCTCACTGGTTCTTGTTGATTGCAGCCTGTGTCCTCGACTCACAATGCTCTGCACTCTGTGTCATTCAAAATCAGGTTCTCCCCAGCCTGCTGCTGTCACACAGGATAGATCTGTGAAACCTGCCCACCTCAGGGATGATGCTCATCATTTAGCATAATCTTGTGATTTCCTTCGTGCTTCATTTTTCATGCTCTTAGCAGCTATAACAAGTCTGAAAGGTAAATGATGAGAAGCCTGAAGTATGCAAGGAATGACTATTTGATTCTCCTGCAACACTGGGAAAGAAAAGCCACAAACACCTTTGAATTTTCACATATATAAGATCTTGTTCATGCCACACCCATTCTGGGCTCAGAAACATAAAACATGCCAACCTATATTTATAGGAAAATCAGAACAGGTACCTGGAACATAATGAAGTTCTGCAAGAGCACTTTGGAGAAAAAATAGGTCTTATTCCGATATTCTTAATTCTAATTCAGAAATATAAAATAAAATAATATTTGCATAGAAATGCCACATCAAGTAAACCTTGTATTTACTTTTCAGTTGTACTGAAATAGTAATGTTATCATTGTATTTTCATCAATAAAAGCTTTAATCACTCATAAGTGCATTTGGTTCAAAACCAATAACTTCAGACTTTTTTTTCCCAGTGGTCAGAAAGTTAGCTTTCCATTCCAGTGTGTTAGATTTTTCACTAAAATAAAAAAGTTCTTTTTTCTCCAGTGTTATCAAGTTTGACAAAGCAAAATGATTATTAAAATTCTACCTTAGCTTTGACTAAACCTGTTTGGGTTTCTTGCCTTATTCTGTAGAGGTTTGTTTTTCTTCTTGTGGTGTAATTGTTACTTTTGATACAGAAACACAAATACTCCAGGCTTGCAGATACCAGCTCCAGTTCTCCAAGACTCACTTTCCTCAGACAGCTAATTGAGGCACTGCTTCATTAGCAGAGTGAGCAGAGCTGCTCTGCCTTCCTTGCCCCCGTGGCATGGCTCCTTTGGGAGTGGGTGAGCAGAATTATGTAGGGAAAGGCAGCACTGGGACAAAGCAGGGACTAGCAAGGCTGGGTGGGTTTGTCATGGGCCAGGACAGCTCTGAGCTGTGAATTTCTCTCACCTAGAGGGAGCTTGTGGTGGCCTGGCTTCTCAGGGTACTCCTCCTAACAGCTGAAAGCTGCTTCATGTTTTCAGAAGATTAGAAAAGAGAGAGCGTTCTTCATTAGAAGCTGAAAATTACTAAATGCAGTGATAGATCTGGTGTAGAAGTTTGAATAACAGTTTGAACGTGTGAATTAGGGTTCAGAAATTTACTGTGATGCCCTCAGGGGCATGTCTTTGCAGTAGCTCTCTGTAGAGATAAGCAACATACCATGAGAATCAATTCCTGCTTTTTGTAGCTACGGTAATTTGGGCTAATTAGGGCAAGCTGAGCACCACCCTGGTGCTGAACAGAGAGCTGTATATAAATTCAAAATAACTAAGCTGTCAACTTCAGCGAGTTCCTCATCCAAAAGGCCTCACTTGCAATCTACCTGTGGAAAAAAGCTACTTGCACAGACAGGATCCTGAGAGCATCCCAAGCCACGAAAATACGTTTCAGTTCTGAAGAAGATGCAATGCTTAGAGCTTCCTGCCAAGCTTCCCTGGTGTTGTGTGCAGGGTGCCAGGCTGCCAAGCCTTCGGGGAGACTCAGTGCCCGGGGACAGCCGCGTGCTTTGCCAGCTCTGGGTGCCTGACCTGCCTCAAAAGGGCAGAGAGAAACTGAGTGCACTTCCCACCTGCTCTGCCCAGCACCAAGTGCAGCAGAGCCTGGCCATGCTTCCAGCAGTACCCACGAGATGAAAGGCTGAGGTCTGCCAGTCTGCCACCTGCCCTGCCCAGCCCCAGCTCAGCAGTGCCCCGCAGCCGCCTGAATCATCGCAGCAGCACCAGCACCACGGTTTGCCTTGCGAGGCATCAGCTCCTTAACGCCTGTCTCTGCTCCGGTTCCCACTTGGCTGAAGTGATGAAACCCTGCACAATATCAGTCTGACACAACTGCTTACTCCTGGGGAGGATTCCTTTGCTGCATTGACAAAGCTGCCAGGTATGTGGAAGGGGAAGGGCTAGGCTGCGGTCACATGCTCCAAAAGCAGTTAAGGAACCTGAAAACACAGCACAATCTGATGTAAACAAACAAGTTCTGCATATTCTCCCTTCCCAAATATTCAGAAGTCTTAAAAGAATTGGGTGTGTAATTGAAAGTAGCCGAAGGCAGCTCCATCCTGTGCTACCAGCGCTTACGCAGCCGATCACCCGAGGTTTCACTTGGCAGCCTGACAGGGTTATGCTTTTCACATGGGTGAACACTTCTCTGACAGAGCACTGCAGCTCGAACAGCACTGAAAACCACATTGGCTTGTTACATGGACTCTGATTTCAACAGGCTGAAAGAGAAATTTTTCTTTCTTCACTCCAGCCTTACCACCGAGCCCCTTGCCTGAAAAAGCCTTCCAGCACCAGGAATCTATTTCCTTTGACCTCTTGAATCTCACTTGCATTTTCACGAAGAGATAGCATCCCTTGTGTTCTGCCCCATGTCCTTGCTAAGCTCCTCTGGAGACACAGCTCCTGATGTCAAGGGATCCTGCTCTCAGGAAAAGATCTGAACCTGCTGCATTTCGGATTTTGGAAGATCGTTGCTCAGAAAATGTGGCACTTGCAAGGGATGCAATTGTTCTGAGAAGGGAGAAGCATTTAGCTGCAAACCCAAGCAGTCCAGAGGAAGGAGCTACAGGGAACAGCACTGGCTCCAGAGTACCAGGTTGGCTTCCTTGCATGCCATAACCTGCACTTTCTTCTCTTATGGACCAGAGAGGAAAATCACTCCAGGGAAAGAAAATTCAGTATGTAAACAAGATGATGAACCACGAAGTAGGGGGCAGGATGAGCCTCTTACAGTTCTGCACTAACAGAGAAGCTTGTCCTCAGTAGCTCTCTTGAAAATATTGGATTTCCCATCTTTTGAGAAGCCCCACTTTTGATGACTTTGTTCCATACTAAAAAGAACTTTTTTTTTTTACTACTGAAATATGACAAGATAAACAGAAAACTGACAACATAGGCAGACTGTTTTCATTCATGTATATGCTATTTCCTTTCTACATGCATAACTTAAAAATATGTGAAAGCCCTAGAGGGCTCCTGAGAGCTCCATCCCAGGGAAACAGTTTGAGGTGCTGAGCTGAACCAACAAGAGCAATATTCTTAAGTAAATCAATAAGGAGCCAAGGTAAAAAAAAAAAAAATAGTAGCAGTCTCTTCACGTAGTTGATTTCTGTTGTTTTGGGGGATAAAAGATGCTTTTTTCACTCACTACTCTTGTGAGGGACATAAAAGTCCATCTACAGTACAAATCACGTTGTTTATCAAAACCACAACCAAGAGCATTTCTGGTTCCTTCTGCAGCAAGCTTTGATGCCAAAAAGCTTTTGACATCATCTCCAGGCATTCCCAGCATGGAGACAAATTTATTTATTCATTAATTTAATATATTCAATAAGCCAACCAGCACACAGACTTATTCTTTACAAGTAATTAGAATGTATTACAAGCATACAAATGTGCCTAAGATTGAGAACTTGGGTTATAATCTAATGAAAATATTGTCACTGAATTAATTTCCTATGTGGTGCCAGTCTCACAGAATAAAACGTGTATTGAAAGTCTTCAGAGACCTACTGTCAACAGCCCAGCACTACCTCTATTTTAAGCATGAGAAGATTAGATTTCAAAAGCCTGTTCTTTTTCATGCATGTTCTAGTTGTCTTAGAGGAATCTTCTGTACGTGAAAGGCCTCATGGAAGTTTCAGAAATTAAGAAAGTGAAGACACTGGCGTCTTTTGCTACAAATAAAATTAGTACTTAATTATTCATAACTTAACTATTAATTGAAAACTAATTATTTATTAGGTTTTTTATGGCGAGATTGATTGATTATTAGCCATTAGTCATTAAAAATGCATCAGTCTCACAGAAAGGGAGCTCAGCTGTCAGCTTACCGGGCTCAAGGCAGTTGTTCCTCCCTGTGCCGAGCTGCAGGGCTGGGAGCTGCGGGTTGCATCGCGGCAGCGATTAAAACCTGGGCTGGGTCCTGGCGCTCAGCCCTCGCCAGAGCCCCCATCCCGCACTCGCCTGAGATGTTCACGTTTTGCAGGTGCCTGTTAGTGCAGCAGTGAGGAGTCTTTCCGGGAATGGGCGATGTGATCTCGGTGGCACACGGGCTGGGCTGTCACAGCAGCTGCCGGCAGCCCTTCGTAGAGGAGCCACAGCCGGGATATCGGCTCCAACTTTCTGTTCTGATCGGCTGACACGGAAACCAGGCAGGAACAGCCGCGTCTGGGGGCAGTTTCAGACCCAGGCTGCAGCCCCGTGTGAAGCCGCATCCCTGGAGCATCCCAGGAGCTGCCAGCCTGATAGCAATCTGCCTCCCAACACACTTGTTTCTTTCTGCCTAGTGTACAGCCTGGGGGCTTCTCCCTCCTTATAGAAGTAAAAAAAAAAAGAATCTAAGTTATCCAGGGCTACGTAATTAATTGGTTTTAGTCAGATGTATTTTGCCTGCTTCAGTATGCAGCAGGCTTCCATTGCTGTCCTGCGTGACAAAGGACTGCCACTGGGAGTACAATTACCTGTTTTCTCTTCTCAGTCCTAAAACAAAAGGTTTCCGCATAGTGCTGAAGTGTAAAGAAAGATCAAGGAATGCCCGAGGTTCCCAGAGAGCCCTTCAGTGCAAGGCTTATCAGCGGCTCCTTATCGCCACTAATCTGACAACACAGGTGCGATGGGATGCCCCAGCTGGGACGGATCTCTGGTAATCTGATCAGGAGCAACTCATTGTGTGCTGCTGGACACCAGTTTACTCGTTACCCATTGAACAAAGGAACAAACTAAGCCTACCTGAGAGGTGCTGCACCCGCAGGGGTGTGGTGGGGAGACCTGGGCTGTGTGAGGATGTGCAGCTCCCAACCATTGCACAGCACCCCTGACATGCTCCCGGGGACAGGGAGAAGAAAAAGGCATTTCATACCCCATGTTCCTCATTTTAATAATACAGATGGCTCACTGTGAAGCATCTTCCAAAAAAAACCCCTGTGTGACCCTCATCCTTGCTGCAGTGACAGAGCCAGAGCAGCAGCCTGTGCCTTCCCACTGCTCTGGGGAAAGGTCCCTGTCCCACCCGACGGGCAGGACTTGTCCCCTCATCTGGGTCGGAGAAGTTCATGGCTGAAAGGGTCAGTGTCTGGTTACAGCCAGGGTCACAAAGCAGAGAGGTGCCCTCCCCCAGCTCAGCCCAAAATGCCATGCACAGAGGTGGGCATCAATGCATGATCAACTCTGCTCCTCTGTGGACCAGGTCTCCCTCACCTTCTTCATTTCCAACTCCCTGCTTGTGCTCCCTGGGCCCCCCCACCTGAGGGAAGAAGGCAGCATGCCAAATCATTGTCTTGAACACCAAACTGAAGCAGCAAAAGAACTACAAATAATTTGGGGAAGAACTGTGTTGTGCTCCAAATGAGGTTGATTGTTTATTCAGGAAATAGTATTTCAGGTAGAAAGCTGTAAGGAGCCCTTCAGTGCTGTACTCTTTTCCACAGTGATTTGAATGGAAAAATGGCTCAACTCTGACAAAACCAGGTGAATTCTACCTAAGCCTGTTTAAATGTAAAATATCACAGCATATAGAAAGATTTGTTTGGAAGGGTAGGGACACAGAAGCTCATGACAATGACAAAAATTTCTGTCACTGATGGATGACATGAGAGGTTTGAGCCAGGCTCCTGTGCTCTATGTACAGCTCCAGCCTGTCCCTCCTGTCAGCTGCTAAAGGTTTGCCATAAAACATTGCTTTTATCTGCCTGTCTTACAGAATATTTTTTTGCTTTGGACATCATTTGACTCTGCCAGGGTCTGATCAAACCCTCATTCCCTGCTGCTTCTAGGAACTGGATCTGCCCTCTCTGCCAGTCAGTCAGCACAAGGGATGGCAAGAAGATTTTGGGCTGAGCAGATGTTTTCTTAGATCCCTGCATGGTTCCCTGTGGATGCACCATCCCAAAGGCATACAAAAATATCACTTCTCTTCCACATTTTGGCTAAAGATGAGAGAATGTGATGCCCTCTTGCTAGCTAAGGGTCAAGATACTGTCAGTGTAAATCCAGAGGCAGAGCAGAAGCTCTGTCATCATTCAGTGCAGTGAAATGTGCATTGCTCAAGTTCATGTTATGCTTTACGTAATTTTCCACTTTTATTTTCTTTGTAGTTTGGGGTGCAGCTTTGGCCATGTCCAATGCTGGGCTTTGCTCACTGGGTGATGCTGCAAAAGCCATGCTGAGCTTTCCATGACAAAAACATCCAGCCCTGGCCATGGCTGGTGAGAACCATCAGACCTGTGCAAGGAGCTGCAGGCCAAGGACATGTGCAGATCGTTTCTGAATTTAAGGTCTTCACGCACACAATGACACCGTGCCATCACTTTATGCAAGTGATTCATATTTAGTTCTTCAAGAATGAGAAAAAACAGCTGAAGATTGCAAGTGGTGGCTGTGGCTTTGACAAATACTGCAGGCCAAATTCATTAGTAAGCTTTCAGAGAGAATTGTTTCATTTTCCCATCAAAAGTAAACAAAGGAATAGCATTTCTATCACCTAATTTCAGAATGTACCTGCTGGTTCTGGGGCTAATTATCATGTTCTTTCTATGATGGAAAATAGCCCTACAGCATCTGCAACTGCAAAATTTGGTTTTCAGGAAAGAATGGTTTTCTGAGGACATAAAAATGTGTTTCATTCTTACTGAGTAATTGGTTTATATTTATATTTGAATATAAATAAATGAGAAGCAAGTATACCATCTATTTCATAGCATTTGAGGTACAATCATTTATACAGTGGGGCCATATTCATAATAGTTCTTTTATGTTATTAAAATTACTGATAAAACACTAGACATTCATTTGTTACACCACTTCCAAGTGCACGGGAGGATGAACAAATGTGTTTTCATTATAAGAGGTAATAATAATTAAGAGTGACAGAACCTTATCCTCAGGATCTGCCTCCCAGCAGCAGTTTGGCTGATAAAAAAACAGAAGTTAAGATAAGGCAGCAATTATTAAGACAAATCTTTTGAAGGGCTGTTTGAACTCCTGTGTCCAGCAGATAATCTGATTTTACAAGGTGCTCCAAGGCGGGGGAGGCTGCATGGGAAGCAGTACCCAGGTGCAGGCCTTTAGCCCCTTGCACCGGCATTTTTACCTCTAGCCATTTCCCTGGTCTCTTCTTCTTTTGTTTGCTACAGCTGTGGCACATAAATCAGTCTCCATTCTGTCTCACTGACACCAAAGAGAAGCAGAACACAAACAATGCACAACACCAAGCCCCAAATGTATTCATCTTTTTTTTTTCTCCCTTTTTTTTTTTTTTGTGATCCCTTTCACCTATTTTTGGGGGGAGATTCAAAAATGGCTATGGGCAATCCTAATTCTTCCTTCATGAATATTAGATATACACAGAGCATGAATATTTGAGTAGTTAATTCTGACTTAGGTGAATCCAATTGCTAATGGCAATCCATTTTTCCTCAGTGACATTCCACCAATAACCAGTGTGAGTGGGACAGGATGATGCAGTTTGGAGCTGGAAAGCAAAAGGGAATGAAACTAGGAGCAGAAATGCTTTATTGATCCAGTCCTTGGGTGGGACTTGGGGCTTGCCTCCTCCCTTACCTTGGGAAGAGCTTGAGCAGAGGGATCTGTGCTCAGCAGTTACATTGTGGATCTTTAAGAACAAAATAGGGGGAAAACTTTTAAACTGATTTTTATTATGTTACTGAGATAGCGCCTGTTGATGGGTTGTGCCCTTTGTGATGTCACCAGTGCCAGCAGCTCCCTGGGACACGTGTCCTTGTGTCCTGGCTGCTGGGGCTGGGAATGCCTGTTATCCAGGCAGGGGAACACACCTTGCTGCACAAGGGCTACAGGGATGTGCTGAGGTGGCATGGCAGGGTGGAAATGGGGCTGTCCCATTTTAGTGATACTAGGTTATCTGCAGAACTGCATGCTTTGATTTTTTTATTAAAAAAATAGAAATTGTGATTTGATGTTCAAGGCATAGAAAAGAAATGGGGTGTTTCTGGACCTAGAGAATAGCAGTGAGTAATCAGATATGACCAGACCAAACCTCAGCTGAGGTTCCATGTTTATGTTTACATGACCCAAGAGACACCAGCAAGTATCTATCATTTTATATTAGTCTCAAATTTGCCATTACTAGGTGGATACTTTATAATCCACTGCTAATACTTACACACTTTGTCTGCTTTAGCATGGGGCTGCCCTTGCATGTGCTTTGCACAGCAAAGATCACACTGGGTGTCTGAAATCACCACGGAGCAGCTCCTCTGCCGGGCTGGGTTTGGGCTGTCTGGCCAGCCAGCCGCAGGAGCCAGGATGTGTCACAGGCTGTCACCATCCCTGCAGAACAGCTCTCAACCTTCAGAGGCCAGAAACCAGCGCAAAAGGAGCCTCTGCCATCAGCCTTGCTGCCCCTGCACCAGCAGCCTGGGCTGCACAGCCCTAGAGCCATCGAGGCAGTGCCCTCTGTCCCTGCCCTGGGCTCTCCAGGACAGCGGTGCCAGCCCCGGGACACAGAGAACACACTCTCAGTCTGCAAAGGCAAAGAAAGAACTGCACTCTGAGAGAAAGTCCTGCTTAGTTTACAGGTTGCTTTTATTTACAAATATACTGAAGTGTAATCTCTCTCTTATTTTTCTTTTTCTGTTTTTGTTTATACTCTGTGTGTATGTGTGTGTGTGTACGTGCACATGCACGTGGGAAGGAACATGATGCATGAGAAACATGGATCTTAGCTGCCAGCAATGGTGGCAGGAAAAAAAATTGAAGTGAAATGAAAATTAAAAACACTAATAAATAATTTAATAATGACAAATAATTAAATTAAAAAAAATTCCAATCTACATACATTATGGTGGTTTGTTTCCGACACGGAGGGAAAGGAGAAGCGAATCTACAGTGAAAGGAGCTGGTTAAGTATGAGAGAGCACAGTCATATTTTTTACAAGTTAAACAAATTGTAACAGACAGCTACAAAATACTACATTTCGATAACATAAATACAGAATATATAAATATACAAGTAATACAGCCATACACAGCTAAAAAATAGGGTGTTCACCTAAAAACAGAGTTCCCAATGCAAAGTATCTGGCAGCCCCTTCACAGCTGCTGCTGAACAGAACCAGAGTGCCCCGAGCCAAGGTGATGCAGCCAGCAGGAAGGAAAGAGCCATCAGCGCAGTCAGATCGGCCTCAGAGGAGCAGGGCCGTGTGGAAAGCCCACCAAAGCCAAAAGACTTCAGGCAAGCAAATGCCCAAGCACGTCCCTAAGCAAGGAGCACGGGTGCCTGAGGTCCTGGCCTTGTGGCTGCGCTGTGCCCCAGCCACAGGAGGGGCTCTGGAGGGACCCCTGTGCTAGGAGCAGCCACTGGTCACAGACTGGAGGGCTGGGCTGGGCACGGGGCTGTGTGAAGCACGATCCCAAGCACTGAGACTCTGGGGACTGTGGCTCCAGCTCCCACAGCCGTGCTGTGCTTCAGCTGCCTCTGTCCTTCCACTGCTGTGACCCAGCTCCAGCTGGTGAGAATCCTCCCCTTCCTCATGATTCTGCTGCTCGTTTCTAGTGACATTC